TCCAAGCATTCGGAGGGGGAGGTGTGTAGGTGGGGGGGGGGGGGGAGGGAGGGGGGGGGGGGTAGCTGGATAAGCTAATTGTTCTTTCTATTATAAACAAACTTTTCAACAATTTAAACTTTTCACAAATGGGTTTAACGAGGCGAAGACTTGCACATTTCACTTTTCGACACATGCTTCCGTAACTACGACCTGAGGTTTATCAATGCGACGTTTAATGGCGGACGAGAACACATTGTCCTTACTTTTTTAACTAGAATGTGGTTCCTTACAATTTAGTTTCGGAAACATTCCTTTGCAGTTGACAAACTGATTTTAAAGCGTTTCAAAGACCTGAACATAAAACGTCACGGCGGCCATATTGGTGTCCTAAAACAATGAAATAGCGGCCATATTGGTGTCTCAAGAAGTCCTCTGGTAGTTGAACCTTTTCATTGTGTATAAACTTCGATTTGTTACAATATATTTGCATAACTACTGGCCACACGAGTGAAAACGTTCTATACATGAACGGGAAATGGAATAAAGCGCGTAAGTCTCCATCAATAGTATTCTGTCTGACTACGTCTGTTCTTCTGCAGGACGGCATTCGAATTAGGTGACGACAAAACTGAAACATCCGTCAAGCAGAAAGATTTCCAAGCAAGCAAGCCTCAGACGAGCGACACAAAGCAGAAGCCACGAGCTCTCTCCCCGCTTGCACAGGAACCTTCAACTTCTACCAAGCATTCAACAGTACTACAGACACCCCAACCGTCTTTTTCATCGCACAAGAGCCCTCGGGTGGGCAGTCCAATTCCAAAGGGAAAAAGCAAGAACTCTCCTTTCTTGACCAAAGCTTTTTTCAACACCGTTGCACCAGGGTTAGCATCCTTTGCAGATGCGCAGAAGGATGAGCTGGACGTTGTGGTTGAAGAAGATGAGATTGAAAAAGACCCGGATGTTATCGCAATCATGGCTGACTTTTAAGATCCCGGATGAACTTTCACAAAGCGATGGGCTGCAAAGAGCTAGTTCGAGTCTCCTTTCTTCTCCTTTATTTTATACGTCTATAATCCTGTATCTGTTTTGCCTAACAGGGGCAATAAGTTACATTTTTTAATGACGTTATTTACCCACTATATGAAAATCCAACATGAACATAATAGTTAATAAACCCTTGATTCATCACAAATTACGTAATTATTACTGATTTTAACCTGTGATTTTAAATTTTGTTTTAACTTGATCCGTGCGTTTATGATTAATTCATTGAAGAAAATATATGAAGCAATCAAAACAATTGATGTTATTGTTAGCATAATTACATCATATTATTTAATAAAACGCAAACTGATTATAACGTGTTGTATGTAAACATCTTTGGTTGCAACTCTACTTGATGGATGGGATAAACTGTTTGAAAACCATTCTGCAAAGGCCGAAAGACAAGAATCTGTTTCGAGGTGTTGGAAAAAATTCAGCTGCATAATGAATCCTTGTTTACTAGTTTTTGATGTAAGCGCATCACAGCCTACCCTTGTCAGGGTCGTAGCTAGGTTTTTTGTAACGGGGGGGGGGGGG